TTCCACAACTTCTTACAACGACCTTGTCTCTGCAGAACCTTCAAACTTTTCGGTGAGTGAAAAAAGCCTTTAAGAAAAACCTTTTGAATCAATGAAACAAAATTTTGCTAAGCCAGAAAATACAACACAACACAACACACAAAAAAACCCAATTGAATCCGAGAGGAGCCAAGTGAATATGCAATATCCACTCGCAAAACATTCAAGTGGCACTCACATGGAGAGTGTGTGTGTGTTGTAGGGGAGAGAGGAGGAGGTGGAAAAGGGGGGATTTACCCGGGCAGGAAAAACAATAATTTTGACATTGATGATGATGGGGAAAAACGGCAACAGAAGCGGCAACAATAATTCTGTTTGCTGCTGTTGCTTTTTTTTCGCACGTCTCGCAAGCAAGCTAGTGGCATGCAACAGCAGTAACACTATGTGTGTCTGTGTGTGGCGTGCAAAAAGTTGCAACTTACACAAAAAAAAAACAACAACTAAAGTAATAATAAAAAATAACAACAAAACCGCACACACACAGACATACTCATAATCGCCATATGTGTGTTCGAGGTACAAGTACTTAAAACTTTTACAAGCCACTCCGGTATGTTCTCTACCCTCCCACCCCCCTCTCAACCGACCGCCTGCCTCACCCACAACAATTGCATGCCACACTTTGGGGCACCACACACCTGCCACCTGCCCACATGCACCCCCCACAGGGAGGGGTCATGAACCTAGAACACATTGCAAAAAACATATACATATATAAGCATTATTTATAATAATTAATAATGAGGGAAATTTAATAACAAATTGAACAAACTAATCTCAATTTGTTGATATTTAAAAATTACTTGTTTGCATTTTTGTTTAAATATTTCTTATACCAAATGTCTCTTTGATTTATTGGAATACTTTATGAAAACTCAACAGGGAATACCCTCTGTTTTTTATTAGTAACTATTCTATAGTTTCCCTTAAAGACTTCTACGAGAATTTATATTTAATATGGATTGACTAGTTCGAGTTTTTTTTAGAAAAGAATATAAGAAAGATAATAAAAAAAGGTTTATAATTCCCAAGTGTTTGATTAGCAAACGAAAGCTGATGACAGAACACAGTCTAGAAAAAACCTTTGAAAATGTCTTATAGTAATTTATAATCATTAAGTATTTATTATTCTGAATGTCTAGTTAAATAATGGAATTTTATGCTAGGCCTCAACAAAAAATATCCTTTCTGTTTTTAGTAACTTTTTAAACAAGTTTGCCAGCAGAAATTCTGGAATATTGTTTCTCTAGGGGAACTCATACACTTTTAGTTTAAAAAAACTACTCAGAAAAATAGAAATTGGGAAAAATAACTATTGTTTATGGTAAAAGGTCTTACAATTCCCAAGCGTATGGTTACCAAACTAAAACTGATAACAAAACACAGTTCTATGTCCAGAAAAAAGACTTTAACTTTGGTCTTGCTCAGTTTCTGATTTATATAATTAAAAACCAAAAAAATTTATTAAGTTAAAAAATGAAAAAGAAACCCTTTTAGTATAATTTCCTTTCTCAGTGCACACAATTTTCCCCAAAGCTTCTCCAACTCTGAAAAGGAAAAGGCAGACGCAGGGCGGAGCTGCTGCACCATGGCAGTGTTTTTTTTGTTTGTTGTTGTTTTTTTATGCCCATGGCTTGGGCCACTTGGTTTAGTTTCACACTTCAAGTCGCCAAACTGCTAATGAGCTTAAGGATATAACCCAGAACTCCCCCCATAGTCAAGCGGCTAGCTACAAAAAATATACATATACATATATATAATTTGCATTAACTTTTTGCGGTTTTGGTTTTCTATTTGTGTTTTCTACTTGGTTTTTAGTAGTTTTTTAGTTTTTCGCGTTTGTTGTTGTTCGGTTTTTGTTTTGGCAAAGTGCGAACAAGCAACAACAAGGCTAAAATGCAACTATGCATGGAGGAGTAAGTGTACCGTTGTATTTGTAGTTGCAGTTATAGTTTTTTGTTGTTGTTGTTGTTTTTTATTTTTGTGAGGAGGCCGGTGTGGGCGTGGCCCAGACACCTGGCCAGACATATTCGCAACTTTCAGTACACAAAACTATTTGCAAATATTTTATTTTCTTTTTGTTTTTTGTTGTTTTGTTCGCCTATTTCCACTTTCTATTGGTTGTTGTTGTTGTTGTTGAGCAAAGTCGAATGCCACGCCTCCCTCCGCCGCCGCCGCCAGACTGGCATTGAAAATTGTCTGAAAAGCAAGGCGTTGGGTTGGGGCTTTTTTTGCTAGGGAAAATTTGTAGGTGGGGTGGAAAAAGTCAAAGGCGTTGGCCAAAGAAGCTTAGCCGAGGCGTCAGGCAATTTGTAGCTTAAAAAGATGCCAGAAAATAACAACAACAACAAGTTCAACAACAATTACAACAACAGAAAGACTAATTGAATTTTGGCCTGGCATCAACATAAATGTGCGAAATAAAATCAAATAAACAAATGAAAGCTGACCCAGGCAGTAAAGGGCTTAAAATATATAAATAAATAAAAAGGCTTCGCCAGGATTAAAATATTTGTAGGTAGCTTCTGGCATTATTTTCTGTGCATATAACACTTTAAAAGTCGTTTCAAAAAGAAGGTTATTCATGATTTTTTTGCATATTTTAAAGGGAAATTAAATTGAATCAAAGATATAGAAAGAAACTTTAAATTAAGCAAATTAAGCTTATAAAGTCTATGCTTTCTATTTATTTTCTGTAAAATTTATAGCTTTACATTTCCCCTTAATTATTATTATCCTAGGCATTTATTTATGCAGTAAAATTTATAATCTAAAAATTTCTATATTTTATATTAATTAAGAATTAAGTTTTCCGCAAAAAGCTTCTTGTAATTGCTTTTTAAATTCAGTAAAAAACACGCCTGCTATGCGAAATATGAATTATTCAGAGTACAAATCATTCTTGGGAAGGTGTGAGAAGCACTATCATCGTACTGAGTGCATTCACAGCTGCCACATCTTGCACTCACTTGACACTCACTTGTGTCTCTGTGTGTGTTGTGTGTGTAGAATGAGTGTTGTGTGTAGAGTGAATGTGTCTCCGTGAATACTTTCTCAAGTAGGTGTGAAGCTCAAAACGCATTTTCACGCGCCAACGCAGCTTGAATGTCAACGTTGCCCATCATCATCTATGCGGCATCACCATCCTCATCATCATCATCCGTCATCTCCGGGGGAACGAGATGAAGCTCAGACTGAGTCTGAGACTAAGACTGAGACTGAGACTGAGGCTGATATGCCGCTGGAAAAAAAAATCCAGAAGGGAGAGAGCAAGCCCAGGGGCTGCGGAACAGGGGGCATCTTTGGTTCACCTACTTTCAGCTCAAAACTGGGCGTAGAAGCGGTCGGTTTGGGAGCGGTTAACGGGAGCTTGAGACGTCGCTACACGTGCTCAAGTGGCCAAGGCTGCCGGCTGCTGTCAGGCAACGACGGCCACTGAATCTGAGAATCTTTGAATGGTTTACGGATTACGGCTGGGCGACCTGACCTTCGTTTCTGAAAAGCCACAAGATTATAGCCGGGAGATTGCCAAAAGTGAGACTATTTCAAAAACAGCCCCCTAAAAATAAGACACATTCTAAATACAGGAATCAAAAATGATTCAAGTTAATGGAAATTCCCATTACAAAAATTGGGATTTTATAAATCATGTTCTTTTTTTATTTTGGAAGTAAGTCTTTCATTCTGGAAATATTTATTGCAACGAGGTACAACATAAATAAAAATAATAATAAACAAAAGACTTGATGGAATTTTATGCTTTTACAGTGTGAAAATCTATGAAAATACATTCCGTTGAAAGGTTTTATAAAACCAAATATTAAATAGTTGGTTCTTAAAAATAATCCTATCTATGGAGAATATTGGGTATCCAAATTTAGCTAGATTTTAAATGTATAATGAACTGGTTGTGGCTTCTTTTTATTTAGCCAGATTTGTAATATATATGTATTCTATAAACATAAATATGTATATATATATTACACAAGTTATTTTTAATCACATTGTTTTCTAATACCGATTTTGTATTATTTTTCTTTGAGATTTTTTCTTAATCACTTTGAAATATCTCTAAATTATGCAGGGTTACTTGAATATAGGATATATTATCTATATCCCAAACAAATCCTAAATTTAAGAGGTTATAGAAAAAGTATAGCACCCATTGAAGTTCCTAATTTGTGTCCCAAAATATTTAATTGGAAACACACATCTAATAAACGCCTATTTATAGCGATTATAGCACATTTCATATAATTTTATTTAAAAAATAACACTCACAAAGCAAATTATCAGTGTTTTTTAAAAACCTTGATAATTATTTGTTAGAAAAATAGCACAACACTTCAAACTGATTTTTTAGGAGAAGCATTTTATTGTTTAATATAAAATAACTCAGTATCTTTTGAGATCTGGAATCCAGAACAAAACCATATTTATATTTCCAATTTATATATCACATTTCCAAACTGTTTTTTTTTTTTTTTTTTCATTTAAAACTATATAGTTACTAACTTTATCACTACTTTAAAGTGATTATTGATTCTTTTTTGGGTTTGATACTATTTACATGGAAAATACTGGAAATAGGGAGAATCCGAAAAAATACTCAGTTTATTCACTCATTTCTATATCGAAAAGGAATCCGTAGATTCGTTATACTGTATTTTTAATTCGGGTTTCAAAATGTTCCTGATATCCCCTTAAGGATCCTCTCAAGATCCTGCTCTATCGGGTATTAGGGAGAATCCTAGAAAATTCACATTTTATTCACTCACTTCTTAATCGAAAAGGTACATATATTTTTTTACCACTGGTAGTTTTTTGAGCTTCGTAAAACGAGATTTTTAATTCGGTTTCTAAAATTCTCTTGATCAAGATCATCTCAAGATCCTCTCAAGATCTTGCTTTGCATATATTCATTTTTGTATCACCCTGGGAAGCATCTTTTTTGAACTCACCTGCCGCTCTTGGTGATGACCATTTCCGTGCCCAGCTTGTGAAACTTTTCCCATAGATCCTTGCCCTCCAGCGTCACCTTGGGATCATCGACGACGCCATCGTCCTCCGGCTGTAGTGCCCGCAGCGGTCGCATAGCCGGATGCAGCTGATGGGCGACGGCCGATGCGAGCACCACGTCCTCGGCGGTGGTATATGCGCTGCCCAGCGGATGATGGGCGTGCGGATGGGCGGCCGGATGATGCGGCGGAAATCGGAGTCCAGCGCCGGGATATAACCCGGGATGTGGACCAGCTGGGCTGCCGGCTAAAGCGGCCAGTGCCGCTGCCGGGAAATACGGTGGCGGTGGCGGCGGCTGTTGTTGTTGTTGCTGTTGCTGGAGATGCTGCTGCTGTGGTGGCGGCGGTGGAGCAACTGCACCCGTACTGGGCGAGTGATGAGCGGGATGCGCGGGATGCTGCTGCGGATGATGCTGATGCTGTGGTGGCGGCGGCGGCTGTTGCGGATGGGCGGCAGGCGGTGGCGGCACTAGGCCAGGACTGCCAGCTGGCGAAGGTGTCTCGTCGCTGCTTAAATGGTGTCCTGCTCCTGCTCCTGCCGATCCTCCTCCTCCTTGTTTGCTGTTATTCGTATTATTATTATTTGTGTGGTTATTATTATTATTGTTGTTGTTATTTGTGGTGTTATTATTGTTGTTGTTGTTGCTGTTGGAATTGCTGCTGCTAGTGTTGGTGTTGGTGGTGGTGTTGCTGCTGCTGTGGTTACTCTGCGGCGATAGCTGACCACCACCACCCGTTGGTGATACGTGGGCGTTGCTGCTAATATTATTATTATTATTATTGTTGGTACCGCTGGGCGTGGCGCTGGTACCGCTTGAATTGTTGGTGTTGTTGCCGCTGTTGGTGTTGGTGTTGTTGTTACCCGCCGTCAACAGCGAGGAAACGCTGAAGTCAGTGGGCCGTTGCGTTAGCTGCAGAAATGGATGATATGCCATCCCATTGGCGAACCTGGCGAATGGATCCTCAGCAGACTGATGAAGTAGCAGCTCCTGGACGTCGTATCTCATCACATAACCGTTCTACACAGAGAGGTGCGTCATGCAGAATCCAACTTATATCTATATATATATATTCTAGATTATATATATTCTCTCAGCAATATGTTTTCCAGCTCTTTTTCCGCTTTGACTTAATTTTTTGTTGGTGTTTTGTTGTTGTTGTTTTTTGTTGTTGATTTATTTTTGTTGTTTTGTTGTTCAGCAGGTACGTTTTATTTTATTTTTCTTTTTTTCCGGGACACTCAATAAGCACTTGCACTTGTTTTTCTTTAATATTTACTCTGTTTTTTCTTTGTTTTGTTGTTTGTTTCAAAAAAATTCTTTTTTATTTGCTAAAAAAAATAAAACCAAAAGAGTTTGGGTTAAGTTTGAGATTTTCCAGCACGATTTTTAGGGTTTTTAGTTCTTTTCCTTTGAAGTTAAGTTATTTAGAGGTTATTTTATAAGTTTTTTAGTCTTTTTAGATTTTTACGAATATTTTCCTAAGGGTTCTTATAGGTTTTACTTCAGTTATATTAATAAAAAAATCCTTAAATTATACGATTCTTTGATAGATATACTGTTTTATTAAATTTAAATTTAATTTAATTTAAATTATTGCTTAACTAAAGCTGTATAGTTTCTAAATACTATTTATATATTTCCATCGCGCTTTTATATTTTTTTTTTGGTTGTGAAACTCTTGTTTCTTATTTAAACAAACATAAGCCTGCTGTATAAATTATATTATATTTATTATTGATATATACAGATTCCTATTTAACTTGATCTTGATTCCTATTGGATTCCTATTCTTTAAAAGCCTTAAGAACTTGTTTTGTTTGGTTTTTCCTTTTTCTTAACTTCTTCATAATTCCTATTGGATTGGTAAGGTTTGATATTTTCTAATTGGATTTATAAGCTTTGGTGTTTCCCTAAAGTTTCTTAGCTGTAATTGTGCTCTCTTTGGGTTCTTTTTGTTCTGTTCACTCGCTTCCTCCCTTTTCCTTTGTTTACCGTTTGCTTTTTGCCGTTTGTTTTGGCGACGGCAAAACGCCAGAACTTTGTTTCTTTGTTTTTCTTTCCGTTTGCTTCTATTGTTTTACTTTTGTTTTAAACTTCACTTAATACCACTTTTTTTTGCAATTGCATTTTATGTTTTGCTCCCCACATTTGGCCGCTTCTTTGGTTGCTTTTTGTTTTTTGTTTTCGTTTATTTTTGTTGTTGCAAAAGGGAAATCAAACCAAAAAAAATATATACCGGTGCAAGGAGCAGGCGAAGGAACGAGGCGTTGTAAGAGGAATAGGCGACAACGAAGCAGGTGAAAAGGACGAGATGATGATGATGCTGCGACACGACGACGACACGATAATAACCGGGGGAGAGGAGGCGAACAACAAACGACGATAAACGACAACAACGACGACGCAACGACGACGGCGACACGAATTTCACGCCGGCCGGTTCAACTCGACAACTCGACGTTCGAAAACAAAATGAAACGGAAACGAAAACGAAAAAATGAAACGATAAGATTTCCGAAAATTCCGGTTTCCGCCGCTCGCTTAACAGTGGTGAGCAGGCGAGCGAGCCTTTAACATAACATTGCCGGGACAAGCGTTAGCAGCGACGTCAGCAGTGGCAGAGCGAGAGCGTAACTGAGCACCGTTGGGCAAGTGGCGAATGTGCGAAGCCCACCGACCGTATAGACGTCGGCGTCGCTGCTGCCGCGCCGGCTCACTCGCGCTCTCCCTCCCACCGATGGGCTGTGGAGCGGGCGTGCAAGCGAGATGACGAGCACTCTCTCGGCACGGTGCGAGCGAGAGAGTGCGAGTGGTGGTGACCCCCGGCAGAGTGTTGAGTTTCTCTCGGCGGCAACACCAGACCGAGTGAGTGAGCGAGCGAGCAAGTGAGAGCTGCGGGGTTCCAATAAGAAAACCAAAAACTTGAACCAAAAGTGTTGAGTTGACGCCTGCACGGGCGGCTGTGTGCGAGAGTGTTTGTGTGAGTGTTTGTATGTGTGTGTGTAATGGGAAATGGCACCAACCAGCGGCGGCAGCGACGTCGCGTCACAGCAGCGTGTTAGAAGTAACAAGGCAGCTGACACCACTAAAGCAGCAGCAGCAGAAGAAGAAGAAGCCGAAGAGGAAGAGAAAGACGCTGACGAAGAAGGAGGTGGCAAAGCGATGGTGGTAAAATGGAGTGGGTGTGGGGAAAAGGCGCAAAAGAACGGTAAGGGAAAAGCTGTCACAATAGGAAAATACGAAAAACCAATCGGGGAATAAGAAAACGGATATTTTTTAAAATAAATTTTGCATTTTTTTTTAAATTAAATCAGTTAATTAAAGGAATATATTTTATTTTCATTGAATATTTATTAAGAGTTTTATTAATACAATTTATTTGAATTGAATACCAAAAACAAATAGTTAAATGATTTCGTCTGTTTTAAATCTTGGAAAAATTTCAAAATGTTGACTACAAAATACTAAACTAATTATAACAAGAAGAACTCAATTTAGTAAAGATTTTCACAAAAATCATCAAACCTTTCTTATTTCATAACTAAAATAATTTTTTAATCAATTGTTTAACTGCTTTCAACTTAAAAAAATTAAAATTATTATATACAAATTTATAGAAATAGTATAATAAGAAGACTCGGCAAAGAAAATAGCTGTAAAACAGGAGCCACTGTCAAAAAAGAGAGGAAAAAAACATAGCAGTAAATCACAGAGGTGAAAGGAGGGGGGCCTCCAAAGGGGGTGGCACAGAGGCGGTGGCTGGAAGTGGGTGGGGTGGGTGATCCAGAATTGCAAAGCGGCCAAGTTGACAAATGACGCGCAAGCGAAAAATGCGCTTCAATGGTCAAATGTTTGCCAAAGGGGGGCGAAGTTGGGGCTTGGGGGGTGGTGAGATAAATGTGCGAGGAGGGGGTGGGGGTGTGGTGAGATAAATGGGTGAGGCGCTCTTTTTGGGGTGGTCCTTCCCAGGCCAAAAGGAAGATAAAACCGGCTGGGAGAAGCACTTTAAGGCACAGAAGTTGACCTACAATGACCTCCAGACAATCACAAGGCACTGCTCGAAAATCAAAATACGGAAAATAGTAAAAAGGACCGACAAGGAATCATAAATAATATGAAAAATAAAAGAAAGGAACTCGTCTTTTGATAGAAATATAATAAAGTAGAACAAATTAATACCAAGAAACATTTAAAAACATTTTAAGCATTAATAAAATGGCTTTAAATTTAATTGATTTGATTAAAATTCAATAAAATGAAAACCAGTAAAAAAAATAAGCATTGCGTTATTAAAAATAGTTTTTGAATAACTTAATGTAAATAAATTTTCCCAATAAATTATTGTTTGAAAAAATTAAGAGTTCCTGAGATTTTTCAAGCTGATATGAAAAAGAGTACTAATAATCTAAAAATAATTCTGGAAAAAAAGAAACTTGCTCAAAATGTTCGCAAAAATAAGTTAAACTGAATTTTAGACTTTAATAAATTCCTTAAAAACCTTATTAAATTGGCAAAAATGATTAAATATCACGTAATTTATAATGTTCCAAGCTCCCATAAGAGAATATCAAAATACCCAGCCTTATCCATGCACGTAACGGGATTCGCTGTGATTCTCCCGCTGGGCTGGTCACACTTACACTTACATAACCTATTACCACCCACACACGGCCACACTCGGAGCTATCCTCCTACCACCTACCTAAAACAAAAAAAAATAAATAAATAAACGCTTGTTAGCCGCTTTGGCAGCTTTTATGCGTCCGAAATGTAAATGAAAAGATTTCCAGGGGATAACGGTAACGACCAGAGCGAAGCGACTCTGCCGGCGTTTGCCAAAAGTTGCTTTTCGACGTTGCGAAAATTTTCGCAAGTGCGAAAAAGCAGAAGAGCAACAACGACGTCAACTTTGGCTGCGACGCAAGCAGCGACAGCCGACAGTTGGCAGTTGGCAGCGACGGCGGCAGAGGCGTGTGACAAACTTGACGCTAAGTTAGGCGCAAACACTGCAGGTGCGAGCGGGATGGCAAAGGCGTGCAAATGAAAGGCACAAGCTCAAGTCACACACACACAGAGGCAGGGCGCGCACTCACTCAACACAAAGAAGCGTCGAAGCCAAAAAGCAAAAACGGCAACGCAAATGTATTTTGTCACACGTTGCCCCACACACACACAGCGAAACAAAAAGGAGACAAAGAGCGAGCTGGCAATATGGCGTCGGGGCGTGTGTAAGAAAAAGACGACAAGCGACTTGCTGCTGCTGTTGCTTCTTCTTCTTGTGTGACAAGTTTAACCACAAACACACACAGACACTCATGCAGACACAGACACAGACACCCAGAGAGCGAGGAGCGAAGAGAGCGACACCTCAATGGCGGAACCTAATTCCACCACCACCACTGGGCCGTTGAGTGAGCGGGATGCAAGATGAGGTGACAACATTTGTTTGTGTCTGCCAGCGGTGTGTGTGTGTGTGTGTGTGTGTGTGTGTGCTTGTGGTGTGAAAAATTACAGCAAAGCAGCGACGTTTTTCGGTTCTTTGCCGCCGCCGTCACTCGCTTTGGTTGGTTTTTTTTCGGCTCTCTTTTGGGTGAAGCTGCTCCTGTTGTTGTTCGAGTTCGATTGCGTTGGTATGAGTTCGAAGTGGCGATACGGCAGAACAAGAAGATGAATAACGAAGGAGAAGAAGGAGGTGAAGAGAAATGTAGAAGGATGCTGAGGTGAAAGGCGATTTAATTGGTGTTTCGCCTTTTTCTTTTCATCAAATAAGAGCTCAAAAGGAGTAGGAGTAGTAGTAGTAGTAGCATATTTATGGGGTTTGTATGGCATTAAAGACATCTTAATCTTTATTTTTTGGGTGAGATAAAAAAGAATTTTAGTTGAACCAAAGAAATTTATTTGTTTTACGGTCTAATCCTTGAATTTTTATGTTTTTCTCTATGTTGAAGCGAAGTTGAAATAAGATATTTTTTATTTTACAATATAAAAAAGTTCAGTACAATATACCGACTTTATTGTTGTCAAATTGTTGGAAATATTCTTCATTTTACATCATTTTGCATTCAGTTA